ACACCGCCATAGTGACAGTATTGGGCAGCGTCACTCATCCTGTGAGTGGACACACCGCCATAGTGACAGTATTGGGCAGCGCCACTCATCCTGTGAGTGGACACACCGCCTTAGTGACAGTATTGGGCAGCGCCACTCATCCTGTGAGTGGACACACCGCCATAGTGACAGTATTGGGCAGCGCCACTCATCCTGTGAGTGGACACACCGCCATAGTGACAGTATTAGGCAGCGCCACTCATCCTGTGAGTGGACACACCGCCATAGTGACAGTATTGGGCAGCGTCACTCATCCTGTGGGTGGACACACCGCCATAGTGACAGTATTGGGCAGCGCCACTCATCCTGTGAGTGGACACACCGCCTTAGTGACAGTATTGGGCAGCGCCACTCATCCTGTGAGTGGACACACCGCCATAGTGACAGTATTGGGCAGCGCCACTCATCCTGTGAGTGGACACACCGCCATAGTGACAGTATTGGGCAGCGCCACTCATCCTGTGAGTGGACACACCACCATAGTGACAGTATTGGGCAGCGTCACTCATCCTGTGGGTGGACACACCGCCATAGTGACAGTATTGGGCAGCGCCACTCATCCTGTGAGTGGACACACCGCCATAGTGACAGTATTGGGCAGCGCCACTCATCCTGTGAGTGGACACACCGCCTTAGTGACAGTATTGGGCAGCGCCACTCATCCTGTGAGTGGACACACCACCATAGTGACAGTATTGGGCAGCGCCACTCATCCTGTGAGTGGACACACCGCCATAGTGACAGTATTGGGCAGCGCCACTCATCCTGTGAGTGGACACACCGCCATAGTGACAGTATTGGGCAGCGCCACTCATCTTGTGAGTGGACACACCACCATAGTGACAGTATTGGGCAGCGCCACTCATCCTGTGAGTGGACACAGCGCCATAGTGACAGTATTGGCCAGCGTCACTCATCCTGTGAGTGGACACACCGCCATAGTGACAGTATTGGGCAGCGCCACTCATCCTGTGAGTGGACACACCGCCATAGTGACAGTATTGGGCAGCGCCACTCATCCTGTGAGTGGACACACCGCCATAGTGACAGTATTGGGCAGCGCCACTCATCTTGTGAGTGGACACACCGCCATAGTGACAGTATTGGGCAGCGCCACTCATCCTGTGAGTGGACACAGCGCCATAGTGACAGTATTGGGCAGCGCCACTCATCCTGTGAGTGGACACACCACCATAGTGACAGTATTGGGCAGCGCCACTCATCCTGTGAGTGGACGCACCGCCATAGTGACAGTATTGGGCAGCGCCACTCATCCTGTGAGTGGACGCACCGCCATAGTGACAGTATTGGGCAGCGTCACTCATCCTGTGAGTGGACACACCGCCATAGTGACAGTATTGGGCAGCGTCACTCATCCTGAGAGTGGACACACCGCCATAGTGACAGTATTGGGCAGCGCCACTTATCCTGTGAGTGGACACACCGCCATAGTGACAGTATTGGGCAGCGCCACTCATCCTGTGAGTGGACACACCGCCATAGTGACAGTATTGGGCAGCGTCACTCATCCTGTGAGTGGACACACCGCCATAGTGACAGTATTGGGCAGCGCCACTCATCCTGTGAGTGGACACACCGCCATAGTGACAGTATTGGGCAGCGCCACTCATCCTGTGAGTGGACACACCGCCATAGTGACAGTATTGGGCAGCGCCACTCATCCTGTGAGTGGACACACCGCCATAGTGACAGTATTGGGCAGCGCCACTCATCCTGTGAGTGGACACACCGCCATAGTGACAGTATTGGGCAGCGCCACTCATCCTGTGAGTGGACACACCGCCATAGTGACAGTATTGGGCAGCGCCACTCATCCTGTAAGTGGACACACCGCCATAGTGACAGTATTGGGCAGCGTCACTCATCCTGTAAGTGGACACACCGCCATAGTGACAGTATTGGGCAGCGCCACTCATCCTGTGAGTGGACACACCGCCATAGTGACAGTATTGGGCAGCGTCACTCATCCTGTGAGTGGACACACCGCCATAGTGACAGTATTGGGCAGCGCCACTCATCCTGTAAGTGGACACACCGCCATAGTGACAGTATTGGGCAGCGTCACTCATCCTGTAAGTGGACACACCGCCATAGTGACAGTATTGGGCAGCGCCACTCATCCTGTGAGTGGACACACCGCCATAGCAGCATGTACAACACTCCCCAATAGGAAGAAAACCCGCTGGGTTGTTCATCCTGACTAATAATGATAAACATCCTTAAATACATCAGTCTATGGACTGTAAACATTATAAAAACATTTCCTTTGATCCATCTTAATTATCAGTACTTAAATACAGTAAATGTGGCCCTCTAATCACTTGTTAATAACTCGCTTCTGGACAAAACAGCCAAGGCGTCAGTGGCAGAGGCCCACAACCGTCGCCATATAATTTAACAAGTCTCGTAGGGGCAAGTCTATCTCCAATAATTATTCCCTTGGACAAGAGTATTATGGATTGTCAAGTGCTGCCATTATCAACACCATCTTCGTCTACAGATCAGGGAGGTGTTATTACCGAAAGCAATTTATTATCTCTACATTCCTGGCCAGTTAGGCAGCTATGGGGTGAGCCGGTTAGAGTGTCGAGACACAGAATAGTGTGAGCTATATTCTCATCTCTTTATTTAAATTAATATACAATATTTCGCCTGATATAGCTGTCAGACTTAGGATTACTGTTATTATTGTGTGCTCTCTGACAGGTCTAATTGGAGAGGAAGAAGAATTAGCCCTAGTTACCTAGTACACCAGTACATGTGTTACCTTGAGGTGCTTCCGGGGCTTAGCGTCCCCGCGGCCCGGTCGTCGACCAGGGTTGCTGGACTGGTCAATCAGGTTGTTGGACGTGTTCATGCCAGCTTCAACCACCAAAATCAGCCATACAAGATAAGAACTCCCCAATTCAATTACTAATATATGTAGTCTAATACTTTAGTTAATGTCTACTAATCACTAACTATATATATAAACTGTAACGCAGGTTCGAATCCTCGTCACGGCCCTTGTGGATTTGTTCATTTATAAACTATAAACTTCACAGAATGTGTAAGGAAGCAATTTGTGGGAAATTTTAAATCATTCAGTCCACTTTAAACATATAATTTGCTATCGAAAAATAAAAATTAAGGTCAAATGTAAATTACTATATAAATTAAATATAAATCTCACATCACTTTCCCCACAGCTGGTACGGACCAATCAGTAGAGGCAAGGACGGACCAATCAGTAGAGGCAAGGACGGACCAATCAGTAGAGGCAAGGACGGACCAATCAGTAGAGGCAAGGACGGACCAATCAGTAGAGGCAGGGACGGACCAATCAGTAGAGGCAGGGACGGACCAATCAGTAGAGGCAGGTACGGACCAATCAGTAGAGGCAGGTACGGACCAATCAGTAGAGGCAGGGACGGGCCAATCAGTAGAGGCAGGTACGGACCAATCAGTAGAGGCTAAGTAGAAAATAGCCTCATAACACTATCATTTAGCTGTTGAATTAAAAATTCCAGTCAAGCCGTAGGCTGTTAAGCCCTTGGTTACGTGAGCTAATGTTCTACACTAAGCTCACCCCCGGAGAAGTGAGCTAATGTTCTACACTAAGCTCACCCCCGGAGAAGTGAGCTAATGTTCTACACTAAGCTCACCCCCGGAGAAGTGAGCTAATGTTCTACACTAAGCTCACCCCCGGAGAAGTGAGCTAATGTTCTACACTAAGCTCACCCCCGGAGAAGTGAGCTAATGTTCTACACTAAGCTCACCCCCGGAGAAGTGAGCTAATGTTCTACACTAAGCTCACCCCCGGAGAAGTGAGCTAATGTTCTACACTAAGCTCACCCCCGGAGAAGTGAGCTAATGTTCTACACTAAGCTCACCCCCGGAGAAGTGAGCTTTTGTCGCCAGCTTGGATAACAATAGAGACGAAAATGTGTTTAATGTTGACCAGACCACACACTAGAAGGTGAAGGGACGACGACGTTTCGGTCCGTCCTGGACCATTCTCAAGTCGATTGTCGTCCCTTCACCTTCTAGTGTGTGGTCTGGTCAACATATTTTAGCCACGTTATTGTTACTCATCGCCTGTATGTGTTTTATCTCCGTTTCCTGTCTATTTTAGGTAAATAGATAACGAATACTTTTTCGAAGGTACATATAATTCTCTAGAAAAATAGTCCTAGACAAGTTTATCTTGGTTTGACGGTTTCAAGGAAAAATGTCTGAATATAATTGATAATAATTTCTAGATAAATTGGACTTTTAGTACATTAAAATGTTGTTTATTTGCCTGTTTTGTTTTTAAGTACTCTGCATAAGGTTACAGTTAGGTTTGTAACTGTAAGCCGATAATATTAGTTAATCATTGTGTTTTGTATTTGTCAGGACCTTACAACTGTTCAACTGTATTGCTCATTCATTACAGAAATAATTGTACGTGTCTTGTAACTGTTATTTTTACTGTAATTTAAAAAATATTTTTGTCTCAACTGAAATGGAAATTCGGACTTGTGCTTCATTTGGGAAGTTTTTGCCAAATGATAATATAATTATAGTCGAAGACTGAGGACTTAAGACTAAGACAATCAAGGGAAGAAGAGGGGGCACTAAAACAACTCATTTTGAAGCACTAACAAGTGTTTCTATGCACGTAAGTGGCCGAGAATTAACAATGTGTCACACTTTGTGTCAAATTTCCAAAAGTTACGTACCTACTGACAAGGCAATCATGAGGAGGCTTCGTGCCTCTAATGATGAAGATGTCTTTATCATTCCTAAACGCTTCACTGAACCATCCATTTGTTATGGTGATACTGACAATAATATTCCTATAGACAATGTTTACAATACACCAACAAAGAACGAACAAGAATCCCATAGTTCACGCTGGCGCAGATATCGTTACAGAGGATATAACCTCCAGATGATAGCAAACTGATATATCAATTTTATGAAATTGGAACAATTGCATTCCACCATTGTTGAAATTGATCTCCCTGTATCCCTCCATCAGTTCCTGATAACGATAAATTTATTGGACAAAACAAAGACCGAACTGAATTTAAAAGTAAATTTATTGGACAAGATGAAAGAAGGTGAAGACCGTTGACATCCTGCAGCCTATCCTGCTCTTCTGATAATGCTTGCAGCCTATCCTGCTCTTCTGATAGTGCTTGCAGCCTATCCTGCTCTTCTGATAATGCTTGCAGCCTATCCTGCTCTTCTGATAGTGCTTGCAGCCTATCCTGCTCTTCTGATAGTGCTTGCAGCCTATCCTGCTCTTCTGATAGTGCTTGCAGCCTATCCTGCTCTTCTGATAGTGCTTGCAGCCTATCCTGCTCTTCTGATAGTGCTTGCAGCCTATCCTGCTCTTCTGATAGTGCTTGCAGCCTATCCTGCTCTTCTGATAGTGCTTGCAGCCTATCCTGCTCTTCTGATAGTGCTTGCAGCCTATCCTGCTCTTCTGATAGTGCTTGCAGCCTATCCTGCTCTTCTGATAGTGCTTGCAGCCTATCCTGCCCTTCTGCTAGTGCTTGCAGCCTATCCTGCTCTTCTGATAGTGCTTGCAGCCTATCCTGCTCTTCTGATAGTGCTTGCAGCCTATCCTGCTCTTCTGATAGTGCTTGCAGCCTATCCTGCTCTTCTGATAGTGCTTGCAGCCTATCCTGCCCTTCTGCTAGTGCTTGCAGCCTATCCTGCCCTTCTGCTAGTGCTTGCAGCCTATCCTGCTCTTCTGATAGTGCTTGCAGCCTATCCTGCCCTTCTGCTAGTGCTTGCAGCCTATCCTGCTCTTCTGATAGTGCTTGCAGCCTATCCTGCCCTTCTGCTAGTGCTTGTAGCCTATCCTGCTCTTCTGATAGTGCTTGCAGCCTATCCTGCTCTTCTGATAGTGCTTGCAGCCTATCCTGCCCTTCTGCTAGTGCTTGCAGCCTATCCTGCCCTTCTGCTAGTGCTTGCAGCCTATCCTGCTCTTCTGATAGTGCTTGCAGCCTATCCTGCCCTTCTGCTAGTGCTTGCAGCCTATCCTGCTCTTCTGATAGTGCTTGCAGCCTATCCTGCCCTTCTGCTAGTGCTTGTAGCCTATCCTGCTCTTCTGATAGTGCTTGCAGCCTATCCTGCCCTTCTGATAGTGCTTGTAGTCTATCCTGCTCTTCTGATAGTGCTTGCAGCCTATCCTGCCCTTCTGCTAGTGCTTGTAGCCTATCCTGCCCTTCTGATAGTGCTTGCAGCCTATCCTGCTCTTCTGATAGTGCTTGCAGCCTATCCTGCCCTTCTGATAGTGCTTGTAGTCTATCCTGCTCTTCTGATAGTGCTTGCAGCCTATCCTGCCCTTCTGCTAGTGCTTGCAGCCTATCCTGCCCTTCTGATGGTGCTTGCAGCCTATCCTGCTCTTCTGATAGTGCTTGCAGCCTATCCTGCCCTTCTGCTAGTGCTTGTAGTCTATCCTGCTCTTCTGATAGTGCTTGCAGCCTATCCTGCCCTTCTGATAGTGCTTGTAGTCTATCCTGCTCTTCTGATAGTGCTTGCAGCCTATCCTGCCCTTCTGCTAGTGCTTGTAGCCTATCCTGCTCTTCTGCTAGTGCTTGCAGCCTATCCTGCTCTTCTGATAGTGCTTGTAGCCTATCCTGCCCTTCTGCTAGTGCTTGTAGCCTATCCTGCTCTTCTGCTAGTGCTTGCAGCCTATCCTGCTCTTCTGCTAGTGCTTGCAGCCTATCCTGCTCTTCTGATAGTGCTTGCAGCCTATCCTGCTCTTCTGATAGTGCTTGTAGCCTATCCTGCCCTTCTGCTAGTGCTTGTAGCCTATCCTGCTCTTCTGCTAGTGCTTGCAGCCTATCCTGCCCTTCTGCTAGTGCTTGCAGCCTATCCTGCTCTTCTGATAGTGCTTGTAGCCTATCCTGCTCTTCTGATAGTGCTTGTAGTAACAATAGGCATCATTGTACACATATATTATCGTTGTGCACAATTAGAAAGTAGAATTTGATATTATTGAATCTGGCCAGAAAAGGTTTTATATTAATGTTCCTAATAAAACCTAACCTAAACCTCCTACGCCTAATACAAGCTATATTAGGTCTACTATAGACCATATATGAGCTATACTAGGCCTAGGGATATTATAGTTTAGTTTTTTAGCTTTATTTTGTCCGGATTCTGTCAAGAGAATAGGACAAAATTCTCTCATTTTGTCCGTTTACAGCAATATATGTGAGATGGTTCATATAGTTACCTATAAGTGCTTTCTAAACAGGAGGATGGCTTACATCTCAACGCCGCCCACCTTCCCGTTACTCCCGTTGACTCGGTAACGCCGCCCACCTTCCCGTTACTCCCGTTGTCATGGTAATGCCGCCCACCTTCCCGTTAATCCCGTTGACACGGTAACGCTGCCCACCTTCCCGTTAAGCCGTTGACACAATAACGCCGCCCACCTTCCCGTTAAGCCGTTGACACAATAACGCCGCCCACCTTCCCGTTAAGCCGTTGAAGCGCATATATATATATATATATATATATATATATATATATATATATATATATATATATATATATATATATATATATATATATATATACATATATATATATATATATATATAATGCACAGACTACCCTATTTCCAGTAGCTGAAGTTTATAACTTTTTAGACACTCAACCCACCAGGGGACTCGAACACTGGCCAACAAGGTGGCAGTTGCATGCTGTATCCACTACGCTATACTTCAAAGCCATATAGAGAGGTAGGAATTCTGGGGTATTTAACCAACCAGAATTCCAATCCTCTCCCAGGCGATGAGATAGTGTGGGACCTCGGATGCTCTTTCATCGGTTCCTGTTATATGGGAAAACTCAGTGCCAAATGCTTAATGCACAGACTACCCTATTCCAGTAGCTGAAGTTTATAACTTTTTAGACACTCAACCCACCAGGGGACTCGAACACTGGCCAACAAGGTGGCAGTTGCATGCTGTATCCACTACGCTATACTTCAAAGCCATATAGAGAGGTAGGAATTCTGGGGTATTTAACCAACCAGAATTCCAATCCTCTCCCAGGCGATGAGATAGTGTGGGACCTCGGATGCTCTTTCATCGGTTCCTGTTATATGGGAAAACTCAGTGCCAAATGCTTAATGCACAGACTACCCTATTCCAGTAGCTGAAGTTTATAACTTTTTAGACACTCAACCCACCAGGGGACTCGAACACTGGCCAACAAGGTGGCAGTTGCATGCTGTATCCACTACGCTATACTTCAAAGCCATATAGAGAGGTAGGAATTCTGGGGTATTTAACCAACCAGAATTCCAATCCTCTCCCAGGCGATGAGATAGTGTGGGACCTCGGATGCTCTTTCATCGGTTCCTGTTATATGGGAAAACTCAGTGCCAAATGCTTAATGCACAGACTACCCTATTCCAGTAGCTGAAGTTTATAACTTTTTAGACACTCAACCCACCAGGGGACTCGAACACTGGCCAACAAGGTGGCAGTTGCATGCTGTATCCACTACGCTATACTTCAAAGCCATATAGAGAGGTAGGAATTCTGGGGTATTTAACCAACCAGAATTCCAATCCTCTCCCAGGCGATGAGATAGTGTGGGACCTCGGATGCTCTTTCATCGGTTCCTGTTATATGGGAAAACTCAGTGCCAAATGCTTAATGCACAGACTACCCTATTCCAGTAGCTGAAGTTTATAACTTTTTAGACACTCAACCCACCAGGGGACTCGAACACTGGCCAACAAGGTGGCAGTTGCATGCTGTATCCACTACGCTATACTTCAAAGCCATATAGAGAGGTAGGAATTCTGGGGTATTTAACCAACCAGAATTCCAATCCTCTCCCAGGCGATGAGATAGTGTGGGACCTCGGATGCTCTTTCATCGGTTCCTGTTATATGGGAAAACTCAGTGCCAAATGCTTAATGCACAGACTACCCTATTCCAGTAGCTGAAGTTTATAACTTTTTAGACACTCAACCCACCAGGGGACTCGAACACTGGCCAACAAGGTGGCAGTTGCATGCTGTATCCACTACGCTATACTTCAAAGCCATATAGAGAGGTAGGAATTCTGGGGTATTTAACCAACCAGAATTCCAATCCTCTCCCAGGCGATGAGATAGTGTGGGACCTCGGATGCTCTTTCATCGGTTCCTGTTATATGGGAAAACTCAGTGCCAAATGCTTAATGCACAGACTACCCTATTCCAGTAGCTGAAGTTTATAACTTTTTAGACACTCAACCCACCAGGGGACTCGAACACTGGCCAACAAGGTGGCAGTTGCATGCTGTATCCACTACGCTATACTTCAAAGCCATATAGAGAGGTAGGAATTCTGGGGTATTTAACCAACCAGAATTCCAATCCTCTCCCAGGCGATGAGATAGTGTGGGACCTCGGATGCTCTTTCATCGGTTCCTGTTATATGGGAAAACTCAGTGCCAAATGCTTAATGCACAGACTACCCTATACCAGTAGCTGAAGTTTATAACTTTTTAGACACTCAACCCACCAGGGGACTCGAACACTGGCCAACAAGGTGGCAGTTGCATGCTGTATCCACTACGCTATACTTCAAAGCCATAAAGAGAGGTAGGAATTCTGGGGTATTTAACCAACCAGAATTCCAATCCTCTCCCAGGCAATGAGATAGTGTGGGACCTCGGATGCTCTTTCATCGGTTCCTGTTATATGGGAAAACTCAGTGCCAAATGCTTAATGCACAGACTACCCTATTCCAGTAGCTGAAGTTTATAACTTTTTAGACACTCAACCCACCAGGGGACTCGAACACTGGCCAACAAGGTGGCAGTTGCATGCTGTATCCACTACGCTATACTTCAAAGCCATAAAGAGAGGTAGGAATTCTGGGGTATTTAACCAACCAGAATTCCAATCCTCTCCCAGGCGATGAGATAGTGTGGGACCTCGGATGCTCTTTCATCGGTTCCTGTTATATGGGAAAACTCAGTGCCAAATGCTTAATGCACAGACTACCCTATTCCAGTAGCTGAAGTTTATAACTTTTTAGACACTCAACCCACCAGGGGACTCGAACACTGGCCAACAAGGTGGCAGTTGCATGCTGTATCCACTACGCTATACTTCAAAGCCATATAGAGAGGTAGGAATTCTGGGGTATTTAACCAACCAGAATTCCAATCCTCTCCCAGGCGATGAGATAGTGTGGGACCTCGGATGCTCTTTCATCGGTTCCTGTTATATGGGAAAACTCAGTGCCAAATGCTTAATGCACAGACTACCCTATTCCAGTAGCTGAAGTTTATAACTTTTTAGACACTCAACCCACCAGGGGACTCGAACACTGGCCAACAAGGTGGCAGTTGCATGCTGTATCCACTACGCTATACTTCAAAGCCATATAGAGAGGTAGGAATTCTGGGGTATTTAACCAACCAGAATTCCAATCCTCTCCCAGGCGATGAGATAGTGTGGGACCTCGGATGCTCTTTCATCGGTTCCTGTTATATGGGAAAACTCAGTGCCAAATGCTTAATGCACAGACTACCCTATTCCAGTAGCTGAAGTTTATAACTTTTTAGACACTCAACCCACCAGGGGACTCGAACACTGGCCAACAAGGTGGCAGTTGCATGCTGTATCCACTACGCTATACTTCAAAGCCATAAAGAGAGGTAGGAATTCTGGGGTATTTAACCAACCAGAATTCCAATCCTCTCCCAGGCGATGAGATAGTGTGGGACCTCGGATGCTCTTTCATCGGTTCCTGTTATATGGGAAAACTCAGTGCCAAATGCTTAATGCACAGACTACCCTATTCCAGTAGCTGAAGTTTATAACTTTTTGCCGGCGGCGGAAGTGGTTCAAATAGCCTCGGCTATCACTTCCTTATGTCCGGTCGTGATGGTCAAGCGGATTAAGGCGTCCCTGTACATACCAGTTGTGGGAGTATGGGTTCGAGTCACTTCTGGGGTGTGAGTTTTCAGTTGTATGTAGTCCTGGGGACCATTCAGGCTTGTTTGCATTTGTGTTCCTCACGTGTGCCCCAAAGAATGAGGTGATTTGATAAAATGCTATGCCCAAGATTACCATCCGAGTGCCGGCGGGGAAGTGGTTCAAATAGCCTCGGCTATCACTTCCTTATGTCCGGTCGTGATGGTCAAGCGGATTAAGGCGTCCCTGTACATACCAGTTGTGGGAGTATGGGTTCGAGTCACTTCTGGGGTGTGAGTTTTTTCAGTTGTATATAGTCCTGGGGACCATTCAGGCTTGTTTGCATTTGTGTTCCTCACGTGTGCCCCAAAGAATGAGGTGATTTGATAAAATGCTATGCCCAAGATTACCATCCGAGTGCCGGCGGGGAAGTGGTTCAAATAGCCTCGGCTATCACTTCCTTATGTCCGGTCGTGATGGTCAAGCGGATTAAGGCGTCCCTGTACATACCAGTTGTGGGAGTATGGGTTCGAGTCACTTCTGGGGTGTGAGTTTTCAGTTGTATATAGTCCTGGGGACCATTCAGGCTTGTTTGCATTTGTGTTCCTCACGTGTGCCCCAAAGAATGAGGTGATTTGATAAAATGCTATGCCCAAGATTACCATCCGAGTGCCGGCGGGGAAGTGGTTCAAATAGCCTCGGCTATCACTTCCTTATGTCCGGTCGTGATGGTCAAGCGGATTAAGGCGTCCCTGTACATACCAGTTGTGGGAGTATGGGTTCGAGTCACTTCTGGGGTGTGAGTTTTCAGTTGTATATAGTCCTGGGGACCATTCAGGCTTGTTTGCATATATATATATATATATATATATATGTATATATATATATATATATATATATATATATATATATATATATATATATATATATATATACATATGTCGTACCTAGTAGCCAGAACGCACTTCTCAGCCTACTATGCAAGGCCTGATTTGCCTAATAAGCCAAATTTTCCTGAATTAATATATTTTTTCTAATTTTTTTCTTATGAAATGATAAAGCTACCCATTTCATTACGTATGAGGTCAACTTTTTTTTATTGGAGTTAAAATTAACGTAGATATATGACCGAACCTAACCAACCCTACCTATCTTAACCCAACCTATCTTTATAGGTTAGGTTAGGTTAGGTAGCCGAAAAAGTTAGGTTAGGTTAGGTTAGGTAGTCGAAAAACAATTAATTCATGAAAACTTGGCTTATTAGGCAAATCGGGCCTTGAATAGTAGGCAGAGAAGTGAGTTCTGGCTATTAGGTACGACATATATATATATATATATATATATATATATATATATATATATATATATATATATATATATATATATATATATATATATATATATATATATATACATATATATATATATATATATATATATATATATATATATATATATATAAATGCATGCATGCATTTATAATATGTATTTTCGAGGTTGGAGGAGAGACGGAAAAGAGGGGGGGGGGTATTGAGGGGAAGGGAGGGGAGATGGGGTGAGGGAAGGTAGGAATGTGGAGAGAGAGAGAGAGAGAGAGAGAGAGAGAGAGAGAGAGAGAGAGAGAGAGAGAGAGAGAGAGAGAGAGAGAGAGAGAGAGAGAGAGAGAGAGAGAGAGAGAGAGAGAGAGAGAGAGAGAGAGAGAGAGAGAGAGAGAGAGAGAGAGAGATGATGGAGGAGAGAGAGAGAGAGATACCCCGGGAGACCGCCGAGGTAGAGAGAGACTATACCCCGGGCACCGCCCTCCCCCCCCCCCCCCCTCTCCAGTATACTAATAAGGGAGAGGAAATCCTATTATGCTTATCGAGGTATCCCCTAGACGAGGGCTCGGGCTGTCACCACTCTCACCCATCTACATCTCGGCCAAACCCATCGCTGATTAACCTCACCGAGTGATGCTTCTCACATAATTACTCCAACATCAATTAAACAAAATAAAATTTGTTCTGAATCAAACAAGCTTGATTTAGAATCTTTAAACCATATTTAATGATTACATGATCATGTTTAATCATTACGTATTGATCATATTTAATCATTAAGTAATGATCATGTATAGATACTAAAGTTAGATCATGTTTAATCATTAAATATTGTTCATGTTTAATCATTAAGTATTGATCATGTTTAATCCTTAGGTATTGAAGTGCGTTGTTGACCTCTGATAAATTATCAATACTTGCATTAAGGCTCCTTTTCCTCTTCGTCTTGCAAGACTGAATATAATTTTTTTAAACAGGTTTCATGGGATTTGCATCCTGGTCTGGATATGTGGTATGTTGGCTGGCTTGGCCCGGTCCTGGGGTCATATCCTGCCGCAGGGACGGTGGCCCGGGGCCCCTGGCAGCGTGGGCCACTATGCCGGCCCACCAGGCTGTGCTGGCTAGCTTTATCTCACCACAGATAGTTTATACCAAGTCCAGGTAATGTTAGTTTCTGTCACAGGATATTGGCTCTATACACTGCTGGTGGAAGCAGGAGACATCAGCCCATGCAACTAACCCTTTATCACTCTAGATGCTAACCGTTCGAGACGCCTCTCCTCATCAACCACAACAGATAGGACTATTGTGTAATTATTGTATCATTTTGTATCCATTAATTAGCAATTTTTAAATATAGATAACATTCTACAAGTATTAACTACAGAACCTCCGCACTCTGTTCAGTTTACGTACAAGTGTTCAGTATATAAAGAAGTCTTCAGTCAGACTCTTGAAATACTTGGTCAGACTTTCTCAGGCAGGTATACTTTAGTTTTAAACATTTTTCAAAACTAAAGTATACTTTCAATGTATATTCACTTGAGGAAGATGTTCAGTTCTTTGTGTATATTTCCTATCCTGCAGAAATAGCAATGGAACCCTGAGGAGAAACCGCCAACCCATTACGACTATGACTATATAGTACTTAGAAGGGGTCAGGATAAGGATATGGGATGGGACGAAAGGAAGGAATGGATGTAGCAAAACGAGGAAGCTCTTTAGCTTAAAATAGAATCTAATAGTGTCATAGTTAGTACAAAAGTTAATCAAAGTACTAAAAAAGTACAAAAGGCTCTTATAGTTAATCACAGAACCACCTGCAGTATCGGATGGGTCCACTTGGTAACATCTAGGCCCATTACAATATACTTTTTTCACACTAAAGGACGAGGCTTCGGGCAGTGACAAAATCTGGTTTAAATGATTTACATTTTTTATTTTATTGCATTTTATTTTATTTTATTTTTTAAATGATCAATGAGTTGTTTAGAAAAAAACAATTTGAAACTCCTTATTACTTCAGATAACTGTATTGAAAATAAATCTGTCCTGCAAACTCCAAAGTAGAAACTAGCGTATTGTAATTACTTTTTTTACAATAAATCGCCGATAGATTTCATCCTTACAACTGATGATTTATTTTAATGTTAATATATCCATGTTTAAGGTTAATGTGGATTTATTAGGGCGACCAGTTCTTGTGTTCTGAATTATATCCCGTCCTGGGATAATTATAGGAGCAGTATGGGGCTCGAACCGGCATCCTCTGTCACCCCGAGACGCGCGCGTTAACCCATTGGACCACACTTGTTAACAATAATTTAACCTGGTAACTTGACGGAGAACTGACGGTAACTTGACATGAGTTTACGTGAATATACCTGAGAGCCGCCATGATACTATTGGCCTCGCCGAGGGCAGGAAGCCGGCGGCTTTTCAAAGGTTCAACTCACCTCTAACTATTTTTCCTGATGATTTTAAGCTGCTATAGTGACCTTTATGGCTTCGGCGGGTAGGCGGTTCCACGGGTTACTAACCCTGTGGGTGAAGAAGCCTCTCCTGTTCTCAGTCCAACATTGTGGCTTGTTGAGCTTGACACCATTCATGGGAGACATCTCCCGTCACGCAGGGTGCAGTCGCACCTCCACACATCTCCAGTATCAGCTCTTGATACTGGTAATGGGTCAAAAGGGCCACCACTTACGGGCTATTCATGCCCGTGCCACCTTTTGGGTGGCTTGATCTTCATCAATTATTGACACCGTTGCTCCTTGTTTGTGTTACATCTGACCTTCTGAAGAAATTGTCTGCTTCAACATCCTTCAAATTGTTCAGTATTTTTAAGGTTTCAATGAGATCCGCCCTGTCATGCCTGGTTTGTAGTGTTGTCAGCCCTGTAGACCTTCAACCGTTCCTGATACGGGTGATGACTTAACTCTGGAATAACTTTTGATGCCCGGTGTTGCACCTTCTCCAGAGCTGCTGTGTCAGCAGCTGAAGATGAGGCCTCCATGCTTGGATACAGTAATCCAAGTGAGGACGCACCAGTGACTTACACAGTTGAACCATTACTTCCTTTCCTTGAAGTCAAAGGTTCGTTTCACTGTTCAATGGTCTGGTTGGCTTTTAATTATTGCACCGCTCATTTGTCGTGCAACTTTCATTGATTAGAGTCAAGAAAAGCTCTTGCAAGTCTTCTTGCCATTTGTGGAGTTTATGTAGATTCCTCTGTAAGGCCTCGATATCATTTTCACTTTCCTCTGTACCATAAATCTTTGTGTTATCTGCAGATTTGATGATGTGGTCTGTAATATTGTTATCTTTGTCATGATGTATACGACAGGAAGGTTATCCTAATATTGAGCCCAGCGGAGCCCCACTCACCGCAGTTCTCTTGTCAGATTCAATTCCGTTTTGAACGACTCATTGATTTTTGTTTCTTGTTTAAACCATTGTTTTGTCCATTCTAATATACTAACATTTATTCCATGTGACTGTAATACCCTTGTCAGTGGTTCATGCGGTACCTTGTTAAAAGCTTTAGCGAAGTACATGTAAACCACATCTACCTGAAGCCCTTTGAGTAGCTAGTTTTCCAAAAATGTGAGCAGGTTTGTAAGGCAGGATTTTTTAACAACTTATATTGCGTCGATTTTGCAAGATTGTTCACGATGAGATGATGAATGATTCTCTGTATTATGAGTCTGAGTATTATGAGTCAGGCTGACTCATGGACGGTAGTTTTCTGATGAGTTCTTCCTACCTTTTTAGAAAATAATGGTGACAGTATCTGAAAAGAAGTTTGAGTGGTAGAGATAATTCATCTGATGCTTTACGACTTTAGATTGAGGTCCATCTACACCTGGAGCCTTTGAGTGTTTTAGTTTGTCAATGTTCTTCCTGAATATGTCCACATTATGGGGTAAATATATCATAATTCTTTCTCTTCACCCGCTTCAACCACGTGTGTGGGTGATGGATGGCAGCTACACGTTGTGGTGTGAACACTCATGTGAAGTGTTCATTCAGAGTGATGGACACCCTTCTATACTCCGTTATAACTTGGTGTGAACACTCATGTGAAGTGTTCATTCAGAGTGATGGACACCCTTCTATACTCCATTATAACTTGGTGTGAACACTCATGTGAAGTGTTCATTCAGAGTGATGGACACCCTTCTATACTCCGTTATAACTTGGTGTGAACACTCATGTGAAGTGTTCATTCAGAGTGATGGACACCCTTCTATACTCCATCATAACTTGGTGTGAACACTCATGTGAAGTGTTCATTCAGAGTGATGGACACCCTTCTATACTCCGTTATAACTTGGTGTGAACACTCATGTGAAGTGTTCATTCAGAGTGTTGGACACCCTTCTATACTCCATTATAACTTGGTGTGAACACTCATGTGAAGTGTTCATTCAGAGTGTTGGACACCCTTCTATACTCCATTATAACTTGGTGTGAACACTCATGTGAAGTGTTCATTCAGAGTGATGGACACCCTTCTATACTCCATCATAACTTGGTGTGAACACTCATGTGAAGTGTTCATTCAGAGTGATGGACACCCTTCTATACTACATTATAACTTGGTGTGAACACTCATGTGAAGTGTTCATTCAGAGTGTTGGACACCCTTCTATACTCCATTATAACTTGGTGTGAACACTCATGTGAAGTGTTCATTCAGAGTGATGGACACCCTTCTATACTCCGTTATAACTTGGTGTGAACACTGATGTGAAGTGTTCATTCAGAGTGATGGACACCCTTCTATACTACATTATAACTTGGTGTGAACACTCATGTGAAGTGTTCATTCAGAGTGATGGACACCCTTCTATACTCCGTTATAACTTGGTGTGAACACTGATGTGAAGTGTTCATTCAGAGTGATGGACACCCTTCTATACTTCGTTATAACTTGGTGTGAACACTCATGTGAAGTGTTCATTCAGAGTGATGGACACCCTTCTATACTCCGTTATAACTTGGTGTGAACACTGATGTGAAGTGTTCATTCAGAGTGATGGACACCCTTCTATACTCCATTATAACTTGGTGTGAACACTCATGTGAAGTGTTCATTCAGAGTGATGGACACCCTTCTATACTCCATTATAACTTGGTGTGAACACTCATGTGAAGTGTTCATTCAGAGTGATGGACACCCTTCTATACTCCATTATAACTTGGTTAGTCTCATTTTTTAAGGGTCCAACCGAGTCCTTTGTTCTAATTTGACTTTTTATGTAGGCATAGAATGACTTCGGATTTTTCTTTGTATTAGGCAAGTTTTCCTTTCTATTTGCCTATTTATTGTCTGTCTCTACTTCCTCATCACAGTCCACTTGAGAATGGTCCAGGACGGACCGAAACGTCGTCGTCCCTTCACCTTCTAGTGTGTGGTCTGGTCAACTTTTCCTTTGTACCTTCTTTAGACCGATCTGATTTCCTGCGCGGCTAAATTTAAAGTCCTTCTGTATGTCTTAAAATCGTTAAGATTCGCTACTCTGGAACAAAAAGTTCCAAGTAGCACGGGCTATGGTGAGCCCGTAGTGGACTGTTTAATCTTATAATCAATATTGTTGTTTGTTGACTGATACCTGTTCTAGAAGTTCCACTTAGTTATTGGAGATTTGTTTACTCTCTATGTCATCCATTTTGTTATCTTTCTGGCATATATATATATTAGACATGTTGAGTAATGATATTTTTGTAATTTTTTCCCATAATGTTTGCATGCCTGGATGACCTGTGAGGCTCCTCATGGAGGTGTGAGGTGGTTTGCAGTTCTCATTCCTTGATAATTTCCTCCATGATAATCTAGAAATAATCTAGAAATAATCTAGAAATAATCTAGAAATAATCTAGAAATAATCTAGAAATAATCTAGAAATAATCTAGAAATAATCTAGAAATAATCCAGGTAATCATTTTGGACTTTTACATGAGTTTCTGTGGGTCTGTCTTAAAATTTTCTCAACGTAAGAAGTGTGAGCTTCTCCTTCCTGCCTGAAGTTGACCAATCATGCCGTCTTGTGATGTCAGGACAAGATGTAGAATGCTGTTACCTGGTGTGTGACCTGTGTAACATGCTGTGTGGGGGGGGGGTGACCTGTGTAACATGCTGTGTGGGGGGGGGTGACCTGTGTAACATGCTGTGTGGGGGGTGACCTGTGTAACATGCTGTGTGGGGGGGGGTGACCTGTGTAACATGCTGTGTGGGGGGGGTGACCTGTGTAACATGCTGTGTGGGGGGGGTGACCTGTGTAACATGCTGTGTGGGGGGGGGGTGACCTGTGTAACATGCTGTGTGGGGGGTGACCTGTGTAACATGCTGTGTGGGGGGGGGTGACCTGTGTAACATGCTGTGGGGGGGGGTGACCTGTGTAACATGCTGTGTGGGGGGGTGACCTGTACTCACCTAATTGTGCTTGCGGGGGTTGAGCTTTGGCTCTTTGGTCCCGCCTCTCAACTGTCAATCAACTGGTGTACAGATTCCTGAGCCTACTGGGCTCTATCATACCTACATTTGAAACTGTGTATGGAGTCAGCCTCCACCACATCACTTCCTAGTGCATTCCATTTATTAACTACTCTGACACTGAAAAAATTCTTTCTAACGTCTCTGTGGCTCATCTGGGTACTAAGTTTCCACCTGTGTCCCCTTGTTCGTGTCCCACCCGTGCTGAAGAGTTTGTCTTTGTCCACCCTGTCAATTCCCCTGAGAATTTTGTAGGTGGTTATCATGTCTCCCCTTACTCTTCTGTTTTCCAGGGATGTGAGGTTCAGCTCCTTTAGCCTTTCCTCGTACCTCAATCCTCTCAGTTCCGGGACGAGCCTGGTGGCATACCGCTGAATCTTCTCTAACTTTGTCTTGTGTTTAACTAGGTATGGACTCCAGGCTGGAGCTGGAGTCTCCAGCCACAGTATGGACTCCAGGCTGTGTAACATGCTGTGTGGGGGGGTGACCTGTGTAACATGCTGTGTGGGGGGTGACCTGTGTAACATGCTGTGTGGGGGGGGGGGGGGTGACCTGTGTAACATGCTGTGTGGGGGGGTGACCTGTGTAACATGCTGTGTGGGGGGGTGACCTGTGTAACATGCTGTGTGGGGGGTGACCTGTGTAACATGCTGTGTGGGGGTGACCTGTGTAACATGCTGTGTGGGGGGGGGGGGGTTGACCTGTGTAGCATGCTGTGTGGGGGGGTGACCTGTGTAACATGCTGTGTGGGGGGGTGACCTGTGTAACATGCTGTGTGGGGGGGTGACCTGTGTAACATGCTGTGTGTGGGGGTGACCTGTGTAACATGCTGTGTGGGGGGGTGACCTGTGTAACATGCTGTGTGGGGGGGGGTGACCTGTGTAACATGCTGTGGGGGGGGGGGTGACCTGTGTAACATGCTGTGTGGGGGGGGGTGACCTGTGTAACATGCTGTGTGGGGGGGGTGACCTGTGTAACATGCTGTGTGGGGGGGTGACCTGTGTAACATGCTGTGTGGGGGGGTGACCTGTGTAACATGCTGTGTGGGGGGGGGTGACCTGTGTAACATGCTGTGTGGGGGGGTGACCTGTGTAACATGCTGTGTGGGGGGGGGGTGACCTGTGTAACATGCTGTGTGGGGGGGGGTGACCTGTGTAACATGCTGTGTGGGGGGGTGACCTGTGTAACATGCTGTGTGGGGGGGGTGACCTGTGTAACATGCTGTGTGGGGGGGGGTGACCTGTGTAACATGCTGTGTGGGGGGGGTGACCTATGTAACATGCTGTGTGGGGGGGGGGTGACCTGTGTAACATGCTGTGTGGG